TAAGATTGTGGTGGAGTGCAACATTAGACAACTTCAAGGTGACTTTTAGAATGCACAATCACAAGCATTGACAACATTTATATTTATGTTATCAACTATTTTTATCCTTTAAGTAAATAAAATAGTTCCATGTTATGATAAAAGGACTGTGAATGAGGAATGATAGACTCTTTTAGAGGAGGTAGTTAAAGAATTGTGAGAAGGGATGGGAAGATTTTGAGATGGTGACACCAAATACAATCTTATAGGCTCTTTCTTTGAAAGTGGTTTCATGAGCGGACAAGCGAGTGTCTATTTGACAGTTAGATAAATCATTAATAGGTCAAAAAAACGAAGCCTGACAGTAACTAGTAACAAGCAAATTGGACAAAATAAAACTGATGAGGACTTCACTTAATTACGCATGCCAAGTAGGAGATTTTTTTGTACCGATGTGTGGCTGAGGAGGCAGATTTAGCTGGATTAAAGTAAATGGTTGGGTGTAATCCACAAAACTTTGGTTTGTTTATGAAATGAGAGAATGACTAATACCCACTTAAAAAATAAATGAGAACGCTAAACTTTGAGGCCTGGCTGTACATAAAGAGCTGAGATTCGGTGTAATCCACAAAGATCTGCAACTTGTTAAGTAATTAAAACTTTTTTTTTCTTTCAAGGAGAGAGAGATAGCTTGTTGTATTTTGAACAACGTTTAGTATAATTAAAAGAAAATTTGAGTTATCAATGAGGGTTTGCGACTTAATCATCGGATGTTCCCTTTGCATCAATAAGTGTCTTTTTGCTAATATTTGGATCAGTCATCAAGCAAGAGCATTTGAGCATTTAAGGCATTTAAATTGACTCACTTTGTTTTTTACTTATGATTCTGCAATTTGTTCCCTAAGACGGTGACGCCGCACAGATAGAATGATTCACAATTCCCACTAGTTGAATTTTAGTCCATTTTAGCATATCTTAATCCTCTATATCTCAGTTAGGCTAATAATTAAACAAGTCCTCTTATGAGTACTGTCTTCTGTCCTCTTGCTCAAACTGAAAGTTTTGGTCATGTCCTTATTATCTTTTTCGTTTGGTTACAATGTTCTTATATTTTATCTTTGATAACATAGTTAAAACTGTAGTTGCTGATCAGCTGAACAGAGAATGTTATGTACCGGATGTTCATGTTTTTTGGAATCATTATAGAAATTAGCTACTAGAAACATAGGCTAACAAATTCCTGCACACATATGGATTACCTTGCAGTCACTTTGGACTTGGTTAAATTAGGGTTGTACTGAATCTTAGCCATCTTCATAGTGTTGATGTTGATGCAGCATCCTTGCCTTGACCTTTTACCCATAGGTCATCACCAAACGAATATGGCTTAGAGAAGAAATAAAAATTGGCCATAATTGCAACATTAAAAAATTTTGCATCATTTCATGATTGATATTTGGAGAGCTTGCTGCAACCACGTAATCATTCTATCCTTCTTGAAGCGTTGTATTGCTACGATGTCATCTTGCCAGCGAAGTTATACCTGTAAAGCACATTATAGAAGCTGCCGTTTTCATTCCATTATTTTTGGGGTTATACTTAGTATGGGGCCATATTTACTCTCTTTGTTTCTTTTCTTTGCGTCGACTTTTGTTAAATATATGTTACTAAGGAAATCTGCTTAAAAATTTATGATAGTTATGTGTGTTATGCTGTTGAATTTCACTCAATGAAAATTTGTCTGTTGTTGATTGTTCTGTCATACGATAAACTGATTCTGGTTTAAGCAGTGATTCATGTGAAATTTAGATTGGGATCGGGTTGCAAATTAATAAAGAACTAAATAGTTTCCATATTCATGCAGGTTTGATCTGAAGTGGTCTTCTTCCTCGCATTTTTCACATATTTGGTGAACTCTCTCCTCTTTAACTCGTACACATTCTTGGACTGAACTTTACTCTTCACATTCTCCTAAAGTCGGTATAACTTTTGAATTTTCATCATACTAATCTTTGCAATAATTAGAGTTCAGTCCCTTTTCGTGGTTGAATCCAAAGCTAGTTTAAACAATCTCGAATCACTCTCCACCTGGCGAGTACCTCACTTTTTCTGGTGCTGTGTAATGCTTTCCCCCGTTTTTGTGCCTCCTTGCTTTATTATGTCTCACACAAGGGAGGCAATCTCTCTGGGACATCATAATGTGAATTAGATTTATTAGATTAAATTCATTTTAAGATTTCCTCGTTATAACGTCCCTAGAATTCATTGGCATACACATGGTACAATGATTTTTGGTGAGAATTAGGATTAGGTTCATGATTATATTAGAATTGGGGTTTATTCCTTTGATTATCCCTAGGTTTAAGTAAAAAATTGTTTTTCATGAATCTGAACGTGGGCTGATTTCTTCATTACTAAAATGGGTTTTTAGTACTTAACACGGATTAAATCGTAGAATAATTATATATTTTACTTGTTTGGATTCAATTTTTGTAAGTAGTATTTGAAATTAAAATTTTGAATGTATCATTTTGATGTTAGAGAGTATGTATTTAAGATTGTTAGAAAAAAGAGATTAGGTATAGGTAGAAACTAAGACAACTTTGATTGTATTAAAAAAAAAAATTCATTAACAATTTACATCAAATCAATTGCACCATTAAAATAGAGATTACATTATTTATTAATTTAAAATTATTACTTGGTTTAGGATAAAATTAGGTGGCCCATTTTCTTGAAAACATCATGTATATGGTTTTGACATCTTTACGTTACTGTTACTTGTTTTCTATTGTAAATCTTTGTTGAACTTTTTTGATTGCGACTAGCTTGGTAAAATGTAAATTTTTCATCGGTTGAAAATTTCATGTAAATAAAACAAGAAGAGCATGACTAAACACAAGATTTTCCCTTTGATTAATATTGATATAATACTTTTAAAAACTTCAAATTTTATTTTAAAATGCAATGATTAAAACTATAAATTTTTATTTTATTATAATTAGAACTTTATCGATATAAAATATTTAATTTTTTTAAATTTTTTAATTGAACAATTTAATTTATAAAAAATGTTTATTTAAATTCATTTGGATATGTTTAATGACAAATATGTAAAAAAATATATTTTAAAATTTTTTTAATTGGATATTATTCATTTAATTTTAAATTTTAATGAATATAATTATAATAAAATAAAATTGGAAAATTTATTTATATTTTAAATAAAATTCTAAATTTTATTTAAGTATTAAGCCACTAATATTTGGGTATGTGAAAAACCGCTTGGTTAATGGGGCTTTGTTGTCATTAATGATAAGATTAGCGAGTATTTTTAAAATAAATAACTTCGGCATTTTAAGGAAAAATGGAAATCCAATGACAAAAAACGTGGAGGATAAACTGTTCACACCTCAAAAAGACGAAAAATTACAAAACTTCCCCTGTCAACAAATACCAAACAAAACTGAAGATAGAAAAACCGCCAGGGGGATAACACATTGCGCATTCGTTTTTCCTTGTTTATTATTAATTTTCTTTCGGGGATCATCACCTCTAAATAATTATTGCGCGGAACGAAAACAAAATTTAATGAGACCGGGTCTCCCCCAGTCATTTACTGGAAGCTAACATCACAAATCCATCCAATCACTCCTTAACACGTCACCACCCGCTCTTTTAGTTTATTTTTATTTTAATATTTTGTCATCATGGGACACTGAAATTGTGTCGAATTGCTTCAATTTGAGGTAAATTTCGACCAATAATCAGGTTTTTTTTTTTTACTTCTCTTTTTTGGCTCCAAAGAAGAGTTTAATTGAAACAAAAAAAAATTATATCAGCTTTTGTTTTATTTTTATTTTGAGAAAGTTCAATGAAATTGGTAATAAAAACTTTAGAATTTATAAGTTGTTTGATTGTAGAAAGTGCTCGACTTAACGAAAATTCTTGCATAAATCATATGCAAGCGTCTGTTTATGTTAGTTATCGTTAATGGCTTTTATAGATTCATATAGAATTACATTTCAGTTCTCAAACCCCAACTAATTACTTTTCATATATGCAAAATTTGTAAGCAAAATATCCTGTAGGAGTCTAGGAGGTAAGTTGTATTTACTTTTTTTTTTTTTTACGTTCATTTTATTTCTTTAAGAAAAATGTTAGTGTCATTAAGGTGATATTTAAAGAACAAAAGTTTATAATTAATATATTATTTTTTAACTTTGATAAAAATAATATATTAAATGCAAAACTTTTTCTAAAATAATATTGTAATTATCTTTAATCAATGCTTGTATGTATTTGTTAATGGGTTTCTTTCTTTAAATATTGGAATTAAAGTTTGCATTCATTGCTCAGTTTGGTGTGTAGCTTTTTATTTTTTCACAAGGAGGGAAAAAACAGTTGAATGGTGTCATGTAGTTTAAGCAAAATTGTAATTACAATTAGATATATATATATATATATATAAAATAGTTAGTAACAACATCTCAAACATTATTAGAATTCGGCACTCATAATTTGATTAAAAAGAAAAAAATGTTATGTTTTAAAAGAGAATATTAGTTTTATATTTATTATAAAAATATTTATTTTTTAATAAATTAAGTGTTATTTAATTTGTGATATCAAATTCAGTTAGCAACATTGTTAATAGTATTACTACGAACCAAGTTTAACATATTTAAACAGTTATATCAAGCCTCATTTAGCAACCTTTCCTCATCTTTAATTAGTGAAGACACAAGAATAAATCTGCTCCTCTAATTTAACTATAATTATGATTATAATTGTTTTTAACTGTTTGATCTAGTGATTAAAATAATTTTTAAAAAAATTATTAAAATCGAGATTCAAACCTCAATATTTTTTCTCCTCTTTAGTGTAGGGCTTTATCCCTCGTCGAATGACAAAAAAAAATTATGATTATAATTATTATATACATAACAAAGCTTTAGATAATTCATTTTAAGAAAATGGATTCTATAAAGGAGGGTGGTTTCGTTATCCAAAATGCATGTATCAAGCTGGCTATATTAACGGATCGAACCGAACCCAAAACAAGGTGAGACCCCCGTCAGCAGACCCAGACCGCTCAATCGGACCGAGTGTCACCATTCACAACACCAAAGGTCGCACCCAAACCACCCCCACTCCCAGAAAAGCAATAAATAAGAGTAAAGCCAGCAATTGACGTATGCTCTCTTCTCATTTCATTCCTTTGTAACCTGTCTCCCTCGCTTCCCTTAATTTCTCTCTCTTTCCTCTCTCTAAAACAACAAACAATCGACACCTCATCAACTCCGTTCCGTTCATCCCCCTTCCCTCCGTTCTTCTTTCTCTGTTATTCTTTCGGTCTTTTCTCTGAGTTCATCAAATCGGTAATAAATTCTTTTCTTTTTGTGGAATTTTTATTTGAATCTTTTTATCTAAAATTCTGAATCTAAATCCCTTTATTTGTTTTTTTTTAAGACAGTTTTCTATCATAATTCACCGAATCGCACGGTGAAAAACGAGAGAGAGAGAGAGAGAGAGAGAGAGAGAATATTAGCGGATTTGATCCGGTGAGATGGCATCCGTGATAACGAATCCAGTGACGAACACAAACTATGATCGGAGCAAAAGGAAAAAGAAGAAGAAACAAATGGTCAAAGAGAATCAGCAGAGCCAGAACCAGAACCACGCAAGATGGAAATCAGAGGCGCAGCAGCAAATCTATTCTTCAAAGCTTATTCAAGCTTTGAGTCGGGTCAGTCTCAACAGTCCTCCTCCGGCTCCACGCGGTGGCCGAGCTGTCCGTGAAGCTGCTGATAGAGCCTTGGCCGTAGCGGCTAAAGGGAGAACCCGGTGGAGCCGGGCCATTTTGACGAGCCGGCTTAAGCTAAAATTTCGGAAGCAGAAGAGACAGAGGGGATCCGCCGCTGTGGTGGCTGCCGTCACCCGGAGTCGCCGCTCGAAGAAACCGAGAGTTAGCGTTTTGAAATTGAAAGCAAAAAGTTTATCAACTGTTCAAAGAAAAGTCAAGGTTCTTGGCCGGTTGGTTCCCGGTTGCCGAAAGCAACCATTACCGGTTGTTCTTGAAGAAGCAACTGATTACATAGCTGCGCTTGAGATGCAAGTTCGAGCCATGAGCGCTCTCGCCGAGCTAATGTCTGGCTCCGGAGCCACCAGCTCTAGCTCAGCTCCTCCGCCTCAGTCGCCGCCGCCGACAAGCCATTGACACTTTTTTATTTACTTAAATTGCCAATTGCCATCATATGCCTTTTCTTTTTTCTCATTTCTTTTATTTTAAATTTTTATTCTCTCTCTCTCTTTCTCTCTCTTAGGTAATCATCTCCCCTGTTAAATACGTGTCCTCTTTCTTCTCCTTCTCAAGTAATTTTCATTATATTATCATTTTATTCGATCCCTTCAGAAAAACCAAAAAGAAAATCCAGAATTTTCGCCTTATGGACACTACTATTGTAAATGCTTGATTTTGTAGATTTATTATTACTCAGTGATTTCTGGCTTAAAATCGAAAAATTAAAGGTTTATTTGTTTATGTATTTATTTTGGAGACGGGTCCAAACCAGGGTATGCGACAAACGTACTTAATGCACGATGGGGCTAAAGCTATTAGCTAAAAATATAGCTACTATATCTTGGGATCATATCCGAGGTGTGGTGTTTTCACTTCAACTATGAATGTTGATATATCATGATATGACCTCTTTGATTGCTAGATTTCAGTGAAACTTCGATGAAAAGCTAAAAATGTATTTTTTTTTTATAAATTTATTTTGTACAACCGGGTAAACAAAAGTTTTGGGTGTTGGGGTTATTGAAATGTGAATGAATATCCATGGGAATCCAAGTGCAGAGACCAAAAGTCGGGTGATAGCGCCAAAATATTGATGAGAAATGTGGCAGGTGTCCATGTGGAGTGCCGAAATTGGGCACATGTGAGGGAAGGTGAGCCAGAGGCTGGCCAAGCGTTTTTCTGAAATGGTGGAGTGTTGTGATTGTGAGGGCGTGAGCTGTGACCACTTGTCCAGAGACAAACGTCGCCCTGTCAACCCTGCTGGGTTCGGTTCAGTCTGAGACAGTCGGACTAATGGGGGCTGCCACCTGTTCCCCGTATCAATCCCATAAAGCACACACGAGTGACCCAGGGGAAGAGAGAGGAGATCTTTAGGTAGTGTTTGATCCTAGAAAATAGAACTTTTTATTTTTAATTTTTTAAAAAATAAAAAAATGAATAAAAATATATTTGATAATTAAAAATAAAAATAAATTTTTTAAAAATTAAAATTAAAATAAATTAAAATATGAAAATAAGAAAAAATATATTATTTTTTTATGTTTTACAAGTTATCATATTTAAACTTTTTAATGTCATTAATTAATAAATATATATTATATTTATAATTAAATATCATTAAATATTTTATTTATTTCTTTATTTTTGTATTTAAAAAAATATTTTTTATTAAATACCTTTTTTAGAAATAAAAAATAAAAATAAAAAATAAAAACAAAAATATTTTCTCAAACCAAAAGAGAGGCTTGATTTCTTTTAAGTCATTTCACTTTTGAGAGAGCACATGCTTGGCATTCATTTTGGTCAGGGCAGGCATTCAAACAACAGATCACACTTGCACCCATGTGCCTTATTTAACCCACTTTCTTTTTCTCCTTTTCTATATTTCACCCACATTCCAAACCCCATTCCCTTTTCATTTTTTCTCTAACGCCAATTGTTGCATTTATATTTATCTCATACTAATTTATCTATCAAGCTATCATTCTAGGGGGCCAATGCCAGATTAAAGTTTTAAATTGATAAACAATTGATAATTTTATCTATACCATTTAATCCAGTTCTCTGCTCTTTTTAGGTATAAAGGATTCTTAAACTTTTATCTTGTACATCTCCGGTTTAAAAAAAAATTATTTATGTGACATTTTAACGAATTAATGAAAAATTATTATTATTTTTTAACTCAATAAATTTAAAGAAAAACACAATCTCTTTCTTTATTAAATTTTAAATTCAAATAAAGTAGAAGACCATCCCTAATTACCATGTTTAAAAAGGTAGTTTCTTGTAAACCCAATGAGTTTGAATGCGGAGTGAGGAGGGCGGTGGGAGCGGTGTTTCGAGTTTTATCCATGCATAAGCTGGACTACACACAGGACATTTTGAGGGTTTTTTTTTTTTTTTTTTTAAATAATAAGAGGGAGTTAGAGTTACCGAGGAATTAACAAAGGAAAAAAAAAAGGAGGCACTTTTCAGCTGTCAACATCGGCCATTAGTGATTCTGATTGGATGTCAAAATTAAAGCTTTTACCAATAGTTTTCAAAGCAATTACGTAGCGTCTCAAGCATTTTGCTTTTTTTTTTTTTTTTTCTGTTGTTGTTGAAATTCGTGTCACCTTATTCTTAACACACATGTAGCAATCATACCCTGTGATAAAACAAAAAATAATTCGAAAAAATGAAGCAAAATGGAATTTTGCAGAACCCATTATGCATGAAAGGAACTTCGACTTGGAATTTATAAGGAATTAGAGGTGGCCAGGCCGGCTTCTTATCATTTCTTTTTTGTGATAGATATATATTTCGTAAGAATCTTGACTTCTTAAAGATTAACTGATAGACGAGTTTAACGTTGGATAGAGAATTATTAAGTTTGAATGTAACACCATGTTTCCCACCTCTAAAAAAGGAAAAAAAAAAAAAGGTCGATTGATCTTGGATCCTATTGATGATGGTCCTGCGAAACTGAATTATTGAGCATTGTGTCAATTATATATATGTGTTTATCATCATAATTCCCATGGAAAACCATAACCACCAGACTCTTCTAAAAACATTTTTTGATGCTTAAATCAGGAGCCTAATTGTATGTTTCTAAAAATTATATCATTGACCAAATATAAGTTTCTAATTAAAGTTTAAATATTAATTAAAATATTTCTCTAGGGCTAAAGTTTTGAAATTAATGGTTAATAAGGTTCATATTTGAATGGCATTTTTGAATTATTTGTTTAGGTGTTTCTTAGTATTACATTGTATTAGAAAAATGGCAAGAAGCAAAGATATTTGGTGGTGGTTCAATTTTAATTCCTATTAGTGGTTTTTCTCTTTCATTTCCCTTTTAATTAATTAATCTTGAATTTATAACAAAAATCTTAAATAAAATAATTTCTTATATGATTTAGATTTGATCGATATCCAAAGCACACCCACTTACACAAGTGGTTGAGAGCTAAGTGTGAATGTTAATCAAATTCCAATTTTCAGCAACAAACTAATTCCTTTGATTGAAAAGCTAGAAAGGTACCATCCTCCACCTGACCAAACCTCTCATTATCAATCTATCTTATTAAGTTACATGACATTTTTATTTTTTTAAAAAATAATCATCACCAATAATTGATATTCTAATTAATCTACTTCTCTAAAGACATAACATAATAAGGATTAAAAAGATTACACGTTTAATATTCAATTAAGTGGAGAATTAATTAGGAATTAATTGAGTATTAGTTCAAATGATATACATATTAGTTTGACTTGTAAAAATTGTGAGTTCAAGCAGACTTAACGTGTAATGTCCTTTTTTAATGAGTTAAATAGATAAAAATTTGGATATTAAAAAAAATGAAGAAATAACATAATATGACAACAGGCATTTTGGATAAAGTTCCAAATAATTATGAGTTGGCTCAAATTAACTCTATGAAATGAAATCTATCATTGAAAATTATGAAGATGTCGGCTCAATATATTCTTGCAGGATTGAATGGTTAGTGCTAAGCATGTGGTGAGCAAAGTTGGTTAATATCACACAACAGTTGCTGCAACTTAACATCAGCAACTTCCCCAAGTGTTATTGCTTTATTAACGCATCTTTTCTTTTTTCTAATGAGAGAATAAAAATGAAGACTTAACTTTCATAAAAATGTTTTAGGGCAGCTGTTGTTCTCTTAATAATGAACAGCATCATTTACTCAAAGTGGGATTTTGCCCTTTCTTTAACATCAAGAGATAGGGTTGGGACTTGGGATAGATCTTTGTCCCTTGAAACTTAAAAAAAAAATTGGGTTCCTCTCTCTTTTTCATATTCTTTAATTAATTTCGATTTCTTATATAAAATTGCTTTTTAAAAGTATGTAAAAGGACATTATTCTAGTGGTTAATTAATGTTTAAGATTCTATTTAATTTAGAGGACTCAATAAAATTTAGAAAATAAGAGAGAATTATCTTTATTTCATTGTGTAGCTTGATATCATATATGTATAAAAATTATAACTATTTAAAAGAATCCCAACTCAAGCATTCAACATCAAGCTTTTTCGGTGTAATTTGTTTGATTTGTTTTGCTATAAAAATAGTGAGAAAGCATATGCATGTGCTTACAGCTTAAAAGCTAAGCAAAACAATCAATACAATAGCTATTGAAAGGTGAAAAGTGAAAAGAGATAGACCACATGGGATGGGAGCATTGAATCTCCTTCTTTGTATTGAAACTAGAGATTTCTTCTCTTAAATATAGGATTGAAACCAAGGTTACCGAAACTAATCAAAATCAACAAAAATAATTGATATTATGTGGTATCAAATTCAGTACAAAAAATATATTTAAGTATATCGTATTGTATTTTGGTCTAATTGGATCATATTGATCGATACGATAAATACCGAAATGAAATTAATAATTATGATTGAAACTTTAGAGAAAGTTAATTTTACATGCATATATAGGCAATAACAAGTAACCTTCAAAATTATTAGAAAATAAATTAAGTCGAAAAGGTTATTTCAAGGCAAGCAAAGTCATAGGGCAGGGGATCATCCAAAATGTCAAATGAATAAGCCAAGACTTAATGAGTTTGGTATACATAAAAACAAGCTTTTTTATGGTTATTTTGACATATATATATATATATATAGCTAGCTAGGATTCTTTTCTTTGTTTTTTTCCTCTCTGATTACTCTTTTTTCTCTTCACTTCAATGTGAAAAGTAGATAAAAGATTGTTCAAAGTCATGTGGTAAAGATTCTATAACAACATAAGAAAAAAAAATCATTAGTTACATGTGACATGTCAAGGCTTAACCCAACACAATAGATATTACTACACTCCTTTTTATTTGCCATGTAAGCAACCAACCCCTCCCCACCTACCTTTCTTTTCTATGCTTTTTTTTATTAAAAACAAAAAAAAAAAAAAAACAAAGAAAAGAAGGACATGTGTGAAAAAAAATTGCATGATTTACCTAAAGTATTCTAAACCCACATGGAGGCGTCATGCCTTGTCCATTAAACTCCAAGAAAACAAAAGCAAAGGAAAGAGAAATTAAAAAAAAAAAAAAAAGAGAGAGAGAGAGAGAGAGAAAAAATTTAAAAAACAAAGATACTGTTTGGAAGGGCACTTGCATTTTCTCACCACTCACCACTCACCACTACTAGCAGTGACTGTGATTTGGAGGGCTCTTTTTTCCTAATAATTAATCCCCCAACCCCACTGACTTATATTTTGTATTTTCGTCCTCTTCCCTAGCACTGTTGGAGGTAACATTCGTTGGCCATCGAAATCTCTCCTACATTGTTTTTGTAAGGATCCCGTTGTCCATTTGATTTGACTGTATTTTTCATTTAAATCTCTCTCTCTCTATGTATAAACTTTATCGTAAGTTGTCAATCAAGGTTAGATATTGTTGGAGCATTTTAAAAGTAAAATTTTTAATGCATGAAGAATGCATTTTTTAAATCGTTTAGAAAAGATTAAATTTAAGTAAAATTTAAAGATACTTTCAATCGTGTTAAAAAAAAACTTATTATATAAGGTGAAGGGAACATATTTTAATGGATAATAATCTATTAAATCAAGGTATACTAGTTAATCACATTAAAATAAAACCCATGTGAGGATATTAAAAACCAAACAAATTCTAATTTTTCTCCAATTATTGTTATAGGAAGTGGAGAAATTGACAAGTTATGGCTTAGGGTAGGTAAATAATTGACCAAATAATTGACATGTTACGTGATCTGCATAAAATATTTGCCCTACTTGTTCATTTTCCTTAACTGTGATTTAAATTAAATAGGTGAGTTTCCAGCCACGCAGATGCAGTACATGTAGCTTTAATATGTCAAACTTAGCTAGCCTAACTAGCTAGACAATCTCTTTGTTTCACTTGATAATTCCCAGATTTTCTCCACCTCAATTTTGTTCAATTAACATTTATAATGGATCCATTCAAGTTATATAATATATATGTCAGCTTCTGGGGCATATAAATATTGTGTACCTTATCCTTGGGCATAATTTTAACTATTGAAATCTAGATTCTAGAATGTATACATACGTGCTCTTATTCACTAGAAATAACCTTAATTAATCTATTTTTCTAATAGAAAGACCCATTTTTTCTGTCACTTCCATCATTCTTTTCCCCGAAGAGAAAAACAATAGAAATGTACCTTCAAATTACAAAGAAGAAATGAATTTTAAAGCAAGGAAGATATGTACCCATTTTTAGTTTTGTCACCACAAAAACTATGAAAAAGTTTGATATAACACCCTGTATCGAGCAGATTCTAGGGTTTGACATGAGATTTCATTTGGGTTCATGATATGGCAGCTGATGATGAGCCATAAATGCACATATATGACTTTAAAAATGAAAACAAAGAAATATGATTAGGTTAAACTAATGTGTCTAAATGGGGGGCCAATTAAGCTTTAGGGGGGTCCTTAGACAAATACTGGATTGGGGTCAACTTTTTGCCAAGCCAATTGCCCCACCCTCCCTCCATGAGAGGATTGAAAATTCTTTTCAAAGCTTTTCCAATTTCAAAAACATGGAACACTGCTGTAATTAGAGGGAAAACTATTTTAGACTTTTTAATGTGCAATGAACTGGCCATGTTAATGTCTCTGACTCTCTTTTAAAGAAGTTGTCGTTTTCGTTTTTCAAAGAGGGAGGGGGGGCCTTCTATTTGGATTACTGACTAGAAAAAAAAGGAATTGAAGAAAGAGAAAAAAAAGAGTGATGCAAAATTAATGCATCAACTATTTTGAGGGGACCAAAACCCAATAAATAAAATAAAATAAAATAAGAAAATTCCTCTATAATTATTTTGCTAATTCAGAGCCAACATATGACAGCACATGCAGACTACTAGGGAACAAAGAAATCTGTGATAATTTGTGTTGTGGGTGAGAATTGTGAGGAATTCTATGCATTCAAGGAATCATTTGCTTATTTACTTTTGGTGGTGAAAAAAAAATTATACATTTTAGTTATTGAAATTTTTTTTTTATTTCATATATGAACAAAGTTGCATACAAATACACTAGTACACAAAAAAAAAAAAACAACTAAAGAAACATCCAATGAAAACATAAATCTGTAATATGAGAAAACTGAAATGCGCCTTCGGACCCGTATGCCTCCTTTCACCTTCAAAATTTCCCCTTGCCCCATGTGAGCCTAAACATTCGTACGTTACCACATGCATTAGGCGGCCGCAACTAGGATTAGAGTTGATTTGGATAAACCTGCACCTCCAACGAGGTACATTTAAGTTTCATAAATTATTAGTAAAATTCAAATAAGAAATCATAGAGATGCATTGGATGAAATGTAATTCAAATTTTTTAGTGAAACTTTCAGATTTAGTGTAAAATTTTTTTCAATTACATTTATAATAATTTTTACCACTATTTTCAATTTCATTAACCATCTAAATGGACAATTGGATGGCTAGCATCTTTAATTTGTAGGTTTAAAAGCAGTTTTTCTACACCATCTTTCCTAAGTGGGTTTTATTAGGCAAATCCGATTTCTATTGTCCCACCTACTAAATTTGGATATCTATTTTGGAAAATTCAATCTCTCCTATATGTTAATCAATGCAATTATCAAGTTCCAATGGCCTTGGCTTGATGATTCCCCTCCGGATGCTATAAATATTCCTAGCTATACTGCCATTGCCTGCTATTATTTCACATACAAATAATGTTTTGGTTAGGAGCTTTGGAAGCAACACCAATAGCATGTCAATGTCATGATCATAATTATCTAGCCAAGAGTTGCTACACTTCATTCTAGCCTCCCTTAATCAGTAAGTTTTGAAAACCTGGTTTGAATTTTGGATATTGCTTTAAATCAAGAGAGGTGTTCCCATGGCAGCAGTGGTCATACCTCAAAGCAAGTTGCTGGGTGAAGTGATTGCATATGATGAGCTCCTAGTGGCCATTAACAGCCTGCCTTTGTTGAATTTGATTCTTCTAAAATTCTAATCAAATGGCATCTTAAGTGAGTGGAAACACTCCCCATACATCAAGCACGTTGTCCCTATGTTCAACGTTTTCCTCACTTCAGTGCATGCTTGGATTGAACCTCATTATTGCCATGATCAAGATCAACATAATTAACCAAATATTTGATTAAAAAAGCAAAAGGTTTTTATTAGTTTTATACTATTAAGATTGATCACTGAATATATATCAAAAACCGAAGATTAAAAAAGGAGGCATTGTTTGGGCCAAATTCCACTTGTTCCTATTGGTTTCAACAAATTGGGCTGAAAATAACAAAGAAACGGACAACTTAGGCCCAAAAAATGGAGAGCCCATCTTCCGGTGCGCCTGTTCTTTGTTTCACCTTGGAAACGACGCCGTGCAGGTCGTCTCCCCATCTCACCGTCTTTTTTGGTGTTCCAATGTCCGCCACTCTGGCAGTTGCAGCAGCCAACAGCAACAACAAGCTGAGGCTTTCTTCAAATCTCACTCTCCGGCGCCTCCGATTTTAGCTGTCAATCGTAAAACAACAATATGGCGGCGGCATCTTCGTCTTCAGCGTCGCCCAAAACGACGATGGAGCGGAGAGGAATTCCGGGAGCTCAATTTGTAGAAGATGTGGAGACTTATCTCTCTCAAACAGGCCTTGATGTCAACTCAGCCCTCGCTTTTCTCCAAGAAAGGTCCCTTCTTTTCCTCTATATTTCTTGTTTCAATCGATCACCTGCTATTTCTCGTGTTTACTCTCAGTTTACTGGAGGCTTAATTTAAAATAATAACAATAATAATGTTTTTAGTTTATATTTGTACGTTGGAAGACAATTTTAGTAAAAGTGTGTAAATTTTTAAGTTTGGGTTCGTTTTGGTTTTCATCTTTCGTTGGGATTGAACAGTTTTAGAGTTATTTGGTTGAAGTTATTGAATTTCCAGGCTTCAGCAGTACAAGTTAGTTGAGATGAAACTTCTTGCACAGCAACGAGATCTTCAGGTATTATGTTGGGATCTTTTTCTCTCACTTACCATCTTTTTTAGTCTATTAATACTTATCAAAGAGTGGATTGTAGTTTCATTTCTACACATTTGGTTGTGCTCATTGTGTGGACAAAAGTGATGTTTGACACTAGGGTGTTTTTGCTATTTTATAGTCTGTATTTGTGTTAATGTGTTTTATGAAAAAAAAAATGAAAAATGGAGGACAATTTTTCATGGTCGGTGATAAAAAAAACTTTTTGTGAACCAATCATAGAAGAATACTGTTGATTTATTTGATTATTAATTGGTCTTTAATCCTTAAAGTTAGAGATATTACAGCAAAATGGTTCTCACCTGTGAAGTCCATGGTAAAGTACTGTGAAATTGATTATTTGAGAAAAAACTTGTTAGTTCATGCCAAGAGAAGGTAAGCGAGACAAAATCAAATTGCACCCTTGTGTTGATACATGTAATTTTTTTTTTTAATGGTGTTTTCTCAAAGCTTAATGTAATTGCAAAGAACTTGGCATGTTAACATGTTAGAATCTGCCTTGCTAATTCAAGCTTTTTGTATAGGCTTAGGCTGGAGAAACTATATCCAACTTTTTTCTCTAGATACTGAATGCAATTAATTAAGCTTATATGCCTATCATGTTATTTTACAATGTTGTTTAATTACATCCTAATTTATGTTGGGTTAATCTATGTTCATTCCCTGCCAAAGATTCAACCAAGGTAGACTTAATTTATATTGCTTCTCTTTTGACATGTCATAAGGGTTTTGAATAGTATGTTTTCTTATTGTGGTCATCAGGCAAAAATCCCTGATATTGAGAAATGCTTGGACGTGGTTGCCACTTTACAAGCTAAGAAGGGTACTGGTGAGGTTCGTCTTTCTAAGATATCTTGACTTTTGTATCTTGGTTCTTCTGTTTAAAGTTTTTTTTTTCTTCTTTTTTGTATTAGTATTTGAGGTATTATGGATCATTGGTAACATGATGAAACTGATTAGTTTCGTTTCTTGCTATCTATGTTGAAAATAATCTGAGTAGTAGTTTTGGTGTTTTTATTTCGACCACTGTTGGTGGTTCGTCAGTCGTTCCATTGGTTGTTCTTGTCAAGTATTTGTGTTTAAGGAAATCATAACCTTTTAGGGCTTTCTGGCGCCTTTTGTGACCTGACTCCTTTAGAGAACTATGATGGCAATCAGAAAGTAGACAGTGGTTGCTTGACCCTGGCCCTTCTTGTTCTTCAGGGAATGTAGAAGGAAAGCAGCTTCTGCATTATCGTTGATTTTATTGAAAAAGCTAGTAAGAATCATTTTTCCATGTGATGGACTATTCTCTCTTTCTGAACTTCTGCAATCAATAAAGTATGAAAATCTCAGGTGTCTAAACCTGGGAACTTGTAATCTGCCACATATGGGCCAGTATTGTATGAAATTCTCAAGGTTCAAGTGTAATTTGTTTGCTTTGGAATTGGGGATCTAATTATTTAAGACATTCATATAGTGCTTGACTAGGTTTGAAGTGCTCAAACCCTACAGTTGCCTGCTTGTTTTACTAACAAGCATGAAAATGAATTTAGACTTCTTTATCTCTTACTTGTCTTGTATATATGCTAATCATTTATAATATTATGTCCGGCTTATATAGGCTCTTATTGCTGATTTTGAAGTCTCTGAAGGCATATATTCACGGGCTCGCATTGAGGATAATGATTCAGTTTGTTTATGGCTGGGAGCAAATGTCATGTTGGAATATTCATGTGAAGAGGTGCAATAGTTGCAACTTGGATGCATACTGTTTGTGTGTATTAACAGAACAAGACTAAGCTGTTCTATAACTTTGTATGTGTAGGCCACTTCTCTACTGAAAAAGAATTTGGAAAATGCAAAAGCAAGTTTAGAAGTTCTTATAGCGGATTTGCAGTTCTTGAGGGATCAAGTGACAATAACTCAGGTAGTATTGTTATTCTATAATATTATGTTCTTTCTTTCCATAGTGAGTCCTAGTGGTGATTAAAGGAGCCCAGACATGTCTAAAAGCTTGCTAGCTCCTTCTACAAATTCATTGGATGTGTGCAACATGGTTCAACCCAAGAGGTGCCAAACTATAAGTTTTGTTCATTGCAATGGATGGAAGAAAATATAATTAGCTTATCTGCCTTAATCATGCTTAAGACTACTCAGTATGTGTATTATATATCTCAACATCTGTTGGCTTTTAGTTCTTGATTGTTTTAGTGTCATTGCCCAGGTAACTATTGCTCGTGTGTATAATTGGGATGTTCATCAACGAAGAATTCATCAAACTTCTGCTTCTACAGCAGCTAAGGATTCATGAACTGAGAATACCATTCCTTGATATAGAGGTGGGGAGTATGCTCCTATTCACCCATTTCGATAGTTTTGGTGAATTGGTTGTCTGTGTATTTCTAGATTGATCTAAAATTTCCCTTCATGGTCTGCTCATATCTACACTTTCCAGTCCTAGATTCTTGGTTCTATGAAGTGAAAACATATGCTTATGTTGCTGGGAGCAGTTTTTGATATAGAAAACGTTTGGACATACATTAGATATAACAGTTGTCTTCACTGTGATTGTTAGTTTGTCAGGAGTGTTTTATTTTCTATAATTCTATCGCACTCATATAACTTTTTTTTGTTTAATTGTTTCGCTGTTGAATCCAAGTAAAGCTTTCGGTTCAAATTTGAAAATTGGCAAGGGGATGACGAGGCCCCAAACCTGATTTAATGCGAAAGAAATTGTCGGCAAAACTTGACCAATTGAGATGACAAGTTGTCCAAATAACTGGGTCTTTAAGCTCCCTCTTAAATGATGTCAGCAGCACCTTATCCTTTCTGAAAAGGGGTTTTTTTATTTCTGGAAGCTTTCAATTATATTATTTCTACTTGGGTCAGAAATGAATATGGTGTTAGGCTTACTGCATGTGAAACGTGATCAAGTCATGTCAATGAAATGATTATATTTTTGAAGACAAACATTGGGGTCCCTTTGGAAACAGAAAATTGTAGCTAGGAATTCTCGATTGAATTATATGTCTATGTATCTTTCAATATACACTTTCTGTTGTCCCATGTGTCAGGCTGAGTTTTTCTTTTCGTTCAATTTCTTGGCACGAAGCTGAACCATGAATTCGGCTGGCAGACTGCCGCTTTCATCGGCCCAGGTTTTCGCATACGGACAGAAACACGTCGGTGGCATTTGTGATCAAATTCAAAGCATTGTTAAGTGGAAGATTCCAAAGTTCATGTTAGGGGTATGCAACGAATATCACTATTCACTCAATTGTTTCAGATCCACAAAAGGGACACTTTGGATTTGAACTTGAAATCCCTCCCAATTGTCAGTTTTATAAAATGGGATCTGTCTTTTTATCATTGGATTAAGGCTTCATAAGCTTTAATAAATACTTTGCATAAAATTTCATGTTTGCTTTGAAGGCTGATAAAGAGGTCCATAAGTATTTTCAGGCTAGCAAAGAGATTCATAGTCTCGGGCAATCCATGTCGACTAGCTGCTCATCAGCACACGAAATTGTACATCTGTCTTTACGTCTTGGTCTTAAAATTTTGGCTTTATTTTGCAAAATAACACGTTCAGAATCAGGCAACTCTTATCTATCATCCAAATCTTTCTCCTGCCATGTTTCAGAACAAAACCCAAAAACAAGGGAAAATCTGTTCAATCTTCCAGAAATAAACAATCGATAAAACAGGCCATTGAAACTATTGTTTTCATGGCAAGTGGGCACCTTGGGCCAGGCAGCTGTTCCTATCACTATACTACCATTTCTTCCAAAGTTGGACCTGGAAAAAGCATGAATTGGATAATGGAAGTCAAGATGACATGTCCACCGCACCAGCAGCAAAGGGTCTCGTTTCACGCTAAGTTGACCCCGAAACGGGGCCCATATTATTAAATGCTGGTCCCAAATTGCCATTCCAAATACCAAGTCAACTGAATCAACTATTTTTTTCTCTCATTTGCTTCCCCCCTGATGCTGACATTCTACTTTATGAGTAATTTGTACTTTATAAAAATGAATAGGATTAGATTATGAAATTTGGGTGATCTTCTTTCTGTGAGACCTGTGATCTTTAATATATAATATATATATCCTTATTTGACTTCCTGTATGGCCAGTCTTCAGAGGTTAGATTTTTTTTCTACAACTTGTTGAAAGAATAAACATTTGATTGATGATATGTCAGATAAAAACTGTATTGTTGAACCCTGTTTTAGACAAAAATAATTCATCACTGGTAGAATAAGTTGGTCCTATGAGTTGTATTGAACATGGAATTCTTCTAGTGGGAAAGATACTTGAAAGACCTGTTCCATGTTTTATATTTGTTTTATCAGATAATTATACTCATAAGGCCAAGATGAAAAAAGAGGGGCAATGGCATCTCCTTGTTTCACATTGGCAAGGAAAGCATATTTTTTATTATTTTTGAAATTTCTTTGATGAGGAATTTAGGTACAGTCAAATCCTGTTCTTTGAGTAAAAATTTAAGCACCCATCAACGATAAAAATATTCTCAATAATTTATATACTCCAAAATCACTTTTGTAAATCTTAAAAATTGATTTTTAAAAATTATATTATATTTTCGATAATTCATTTTCAAGATTAGCATGCATATATAAATATGAGTAATTAATATACCTATTTTATTCGATATATATATATATATATATATGAATGGAAGAGATATGCTAATTCTCAAGCATACATGGACATGAATATATTTTTGTTTTGAAATAAAAAAACCTAAAATACCATTTTATCCAAACAAAACCAAAAAATAAAAAAATAACGTTTTTTGTTTTCGGGAAGCTCAATAGAAATAATATGTTTATATCAAGCATGTTAAAAACATTGATTTCAATTCCATTCACATATAAAATCAAATTAATTGGTTTATAAGTGCATGATTAAGATTTTTAATAATTAAAACTAAAATCAAATTTCTCAAAAATAAATATCTGAAAAGACTTAAAATTTCTTAGATATTCATCTTTTGAAATATTTTAAGTTTTTCAAAAATGAATATCCAAAAAATATTAATTTTTTTTTGAAAATAAATAACCAAAAAACTTTGAGATTTCTTATAAATGAATATTTAAGAATTTTTAAAATTTTTTGAATATCTATTTTCGAAAAATCTCAAAGTTTCTTGAATATTAATTTTTGACAAACTTAATTTCAAGAAAAGAAAAAGAGAAGAAAAAAATTGATAGAAATGAAAAATAAAAAGTAAAAGGTGGGGATGTATTTAATAGAGTAAAAAATTAAATTTTAAATTTTAAGTATATTTAAAAGTAAAATGTATAAAATAATAAATGAGGTGTAAATAAAATTTCCTCTTTATTAGCCGGAAAACTGTCGATTTTGACTTCCCTTGTGCTCTTTTTTTTCATTGCTTATATTAATTTATTTACAAACAATTCTTCCATACCCAAAAGTCACCCAAATCTAATTGCCGCAATCTACGCTGGGCGTTTTCCCGTTCCAATTCGGTAATAAGGAAATATTTGGCATATGAACTATTAATTGATAATTTAATATTTATTTTTAAAAGAATTAATTTTAAATAATTACATGTAACGAACAAATAATCTTTTAAATATCACATTAAACTATACCAAAAAAATGTTTTAAAACAATATGGCTGGTTATTAAACTATTTGTTGCAGATTTAACAAATTTGCAATTTAAATTAAATTTATTAATGAAAAATCAAATTTATGTGATTAATATTTATAATAAAAATGTATCTACCTATTATAAATTAAGATTTTGTAATTATGATTAAAATTAATCAAAATTTTATAATAACTATCACGAAATCAAGTCCATGATATCAAGACTTTGTATCAAATGTCATGTATGCTATCTCATTGTCATGAGGCAAGCAAAAATTCCTTCGACCCAATGTTTTAGGGTTACCAAGCATTAAAGGATCGACGTCATTCATTCACCTTTTCATTTTTTTTTTCCTTCTTTAAAGCAACTTTAATTTGTGCGTAGAAAAAGAATATACTAAACTAAGTGGAATTAGTTCCTCTTGTTAAAAAAAAAAAATGGTAATAATGATGGCAAAATCGAGGGCAATAACATCATATATGTGGGGGATGGATACACCCAGTTATCAATAAAGCAGCTATGATTTTTTTTTTCTTGGTTATAGTTAGATAAAAAAAAAAAACCGTTTCTATTCATTTTGCAATAATTGAGAAGCTTGTTGTCTTATTTAATTCAATAGGGTTCGTAGAAGATGATAAAAAGGCTACAATCATAGGTTTAAGGACACTCCTTTTCCCTCAATGGAATCTGGTCGAACCTCTAGCTCTAGGCTACTAATATTATTGTGTGATAGAGTTTTGAATTCTTAATTTAGTTTTATTTTTTAAGAAAAATCTGTTAATTTAAGTGATTAAAATTTAACTTTTGATAATTTTAAGTACTATAAAAAAAATATGATAAAATATTGGGCTAACATCAATATTACTGCTATTTGATAGACACTCCAGCATGTGCACAAAAACACGACCAGAAATTATAATCCTTCCTTATCTTAGTCATTCATTCCCTTCCCATCCAAATATTTATAGCTTTTGTAAATATTTCAAATTATGTGACAAAACAATTTATTCATCTATTCTCAAGGACACATTTCAAAATTGAAACTTAAAATTTTATTTTAGAGATTTCAAATTCTAATTCTAAAATAAACAAAATAGAATGATTTATTTCTTAATATGTATTCTGATATTATGTTTTAGAAATATTTTCAAAATAATAAAAATATTGATTCAATTAAAAAAGAAATTATATTAAATTATTTAACTTAGTAATGGTTTCAATATATAATTTTAAAAACTTAAAAGAATTTTATTGGGAAAACTTTACATAAAAACAGTCGACTGCAATGATTAGAAGAGTCGACTACCTTAAGCTTCTAAGAAGAGCAGTCGATTGCCTAAGTCATGGAATCGACTACTTTAACAAACATAAACTAAACAATGTTTTTGTATAAGATAATAGCTAACTATCTTTATGAAGCAATTGATTGAGATGGTTGAAAATAGGTAGAATCGATTCTTAACCTTAAAAGAATCAACTACCAATGTATAAGAGTCTTCTAAAATATTAATCAAGGCCATGGCAGTCACTGCTCTTGAATAGCAATCTATTGCTTGAAGAAGACCGAATGTGAAACCTCTTATATGGAAATTAAAAGTAGTTGATTGCTTATACACAGGATGTATTTGGACACGTAAGAGGAATCAACTGTTTAATGAAACGTCGACTGCTTTGTTCCTCAAAGCATATTGGAAATTAAATTTACAAAAGGGCAGTCAATAGTTCTGCTTGAAAAAGTATAATTGTTTGAAATGTAAATAATGATATCTCTTTGTTTAATTATTCAAATGAACAAATATATTTGTAATCTTTTAAAGAAACAAATTTATGATTAAAATGAGATGATATTTGGTTGAAACAACATAGTCAAATAATCATAACCTTATGATTAAATTTCTATAAATAAAAATTGATATGAGTTCATTTAAGGATCCAAATTAATTCAGAAATTCTTTTAATTTCTTTTCACCCATTTCTCTCAAGAAAAAGCTAGTTTCTTTAACATTATTTACTACAAAAAATTTGGCTGAATATAAAGTATTTCCATCCCTTATTAAGGAGTGTTTAGTAATTTAATTTTTTTAGTACAAAGTAAAATAAACATAAATTTTATTATATCTTAAAAGTTACTCGATTTATGTGAAGATTCTATTTGTTTTACAAGAGATAAAAAAAAAAAAAAAGACTATAAAAATATCACAAGTTGTACAATCAAGTACATTTTGTATTTGTATTCTAAAAGCCTTGTGTTTCTGAACAATATCATTAATCGCCATAAATACACATACATTGGACTGATAAAAATGGTATACATGCAATATATATTTAAAAAAAAAAAAAAAAACATAGACAAGAACAGCATGCAGCACTCTACATGAGCTCCAAGTAAAAGTGAAATATATGTCACGGTAATAACGTTGAACCTCTACTTTTTCCCTTATTAATTCAATGTTATATTCAAAAGCTTTGGCCTTTGACCAGTTCTTGGCCGTGTGAATTCAGATCCCTAAACAAAGACATTTTGGAGGGTACAGTTTCAGACTTTTGGAACCATTGTCAACATTATTATTAGTACTAGTACACTGATATTTCATTTTTTCCATGTCGCTGTTCGATGTATCCTAGAGGGAGTTCGGTTGGGTGATTCCAAGACCAAGCGCCTCACCCTTTCCTTGTTAGTCACGCTCCAACCTCGTTGAAGAAGGCTTTGAATCTTCTTCACATATGCGCGTGGCATGTAACTAATGTAAAAATAACCAATTACCTTTTCTTTCCTTTCGTCTTCAAAAATAAAATTCAAAACTTATTACTCTATAATTGTCAATCAATGTTATGAATTTTAATATATTAAAAATTGTTATTCTAAATAATATTTTAATTATTTTAAATCAATAAAAACAGTGTAAAAAAATGTATTAAATAGTTTAAAAAATGTTAATCAGTGTCTAATAATATTATTAAAGTAATATTTAAAAAATTTTAAGTATCAACATTTTTTTAATTTAGTGAAAATAATGTAATAAATGCAAAAGTTTTAATTTAAATAATATTTTAACATTGTTAAATAATATCTATAGGTAATCATTAATAAGATAATAAAAAATAAAAACTAAAACTAAAATTGATGAAGGTGGAATCACGAGTCATGGAAAACTTGATGGCCACGAACAAGAAGTTGTACACTAGAAGAAAGAAATTAAAATAATTAAATTAAGCCAAAAAGATGAAGAGAAAAATTAAATAAAATGAAGAGGGCGTATATTAGAAGCAATCCCTATTAGAAAAAGCATGAATGTAATTGAATCAGGTAGAATTATTATAGTGAAAAATTTATATTCAGGTTCGACTTAAAATTTATTGTTTAAAATTTAATTTAAATTAAATTAAAATTTAATTTTTAAATTTAATATTTACTTAAAATAAAATTTAAATTACTTAAACTCATTTAATAAAAATTAACTGGATTTTCATGCTTAATTTTATATTTTAATATATGTTCAAACTATAACTTGATTATGTGTTTAATTTTAAATTTGATTATGTATTCAAAATATATTAAAATTTTAAAATTTAATTAGTCATATGAATTATTTAAATCGAATATTTAAATATTTAAATTTAATTTATTCAATAAATTAAATTTTTTGAATTTAAATTTAATTTAATAATAATTAAATCAAAATAAAATTTTATCTAAATTAAAATTAAATAATTTATGAGTATGATGCACCGTTTATTCTTTAATTGGAAGGGAATATACTAAAACCGCGTTAAACGGAAAAGATGCATCTGGTTTAAAAGACTGATAAGTAAAAGCAGCCGTTGGATTTGACACGTAGGATTAGTGAACGAGACAAAGGAGAGGTGTAATTCAATCGTTGGCTCATTCGAAGTTTCGGGCGCGATTGGGGGACGAAAGTGAGGGCCGTGTTTTTGTGGCAAATATGGTTCCACGAATGATTATTTTTTTTCTGATAGTGGAAAAACTTGAGAGAAAATTCTTTTTCTTTCTCTCCAATTTTTCGGGCGTTTTGATAGAATTGACAAAGCAAGCTTCATCATTGGTAGAATTAGAAATTTGGTGATGGGTTTATTTCATTTTCATCTTTTTTCTAATTGAACTTCTTCTCATGGGTTTATTTAAATTTTCTTAAGCAATAATTGTATTATTATTATTGTTAAAAAATAAAAATAAATAATAATTCTAAAAAGTAGAATTAAAAGAATATAGATTGTGATTAAAATGACATAGCTTATCCATGCTATAAATGAACTCAACTCATTAAAAAAACAATTGAAAATTTGGAATGGTAGTTGTATGGTGACGGTGTTGGCTTGTCGGGGAAGAATAGGGAGAGTGATTAGCACTCTGCTGACGCGTTTATTATGTCAGCATTCACAACGCGGTTTTTCTTTTATTATTGGTAAATTCTTTTCGTATTTTTTTTGGATTTTTTATTCACGAAAATGGATTTTGTCTGCATGGAAATGGTAATAACCCTTATGACAAAAGTGCCCTTATACTCTTGTTTATCCAAATAAAAATATAATAAAGTGACGGTGGGATTGATCGGCTGATTTTTTTTTTCTTTAAAGAAATTGATTTTATAAAATTATTAATATATTTTTTTTATAAAAAAAAATTTACGATAAATAAATTATTTAATCATCAAATCAAAATAAAATATATCATATTTAATAATTTAAAATAAATAATTATAATCATATATTTAATATAATTTTAATAAATAATCATAGATAAAATTTAAATTTAAAATTTTTTAATAAAAAATAATTTTAATCAATTGAAACAATTATTTATTATGTATTAGAAACTTTGCTAGTTTTATCGTTTCCTCTCTTCTTTTTAGAAAATGATCCTCAATTGAGTGAACATTTGTATACGCCTCGTTTTCCTATTTCATGAAATCATAATAATTAAAAATAATTTAATAAAATATTAAAAGGTATAAATATCTTTTTAAAATGAAATCTTTAATTCTGAAATAATTTTAATATCATTGAACTAAAGGTTTTTTAATAAAAACAATTATTTTAATTTAAAAGTTAAAAGGGGCACCGCGAAAAGAACTCCTAAAGATGGCCCCGTCCACAAGCAACCGGTTAAACCAGTCAATAATCCGCGTACGCAAAAGTGGACCCAAAAGTAAAGGGCGGTCCGTAAGCAATAAATGCCCTCAACACCGGCCTCCCTTAATCGCCACGTACCGTACTGGTAATGAACCGGCAAATGGCGGTCACTTCTTCCAAAATTCCAAACCCAAATCCATTCACACTAAGTCCCAAACACTCCCATTCTCTCTCTTTTTCTCTATTTTTTTAAATCTTTTATAAAAAATGATTTTTTGTTTTTTGTTTTTTCTTTTTTTAACGCAAGGATAAAGGCTTGGGTTTGTTTTGTTTTTTTTTTTTAAATGGGGGAGAATATCTGAATTCTATGGAGAAGAAGAAAGAGAATTACATGGCAAATATAAAATTTTCCGATGAGAATCCGTCAGCACCTGAATTTGGTGGAAGCATCTTTGACATGGCGGCAGGAGCATGTGAAGGTAGTGGTGGAGATAAGTGGGGGTCTTTAGGCTTCATGGACTTGCTTGGTGTCCATCAAGATTTTGTTGCTCCTTCTTTATTCGATTCCTTTCAGCCTCCTCCGATTCTTTCACCACCACCTCCACCATCATCGTCTGAATTAGTACTTCACCAAGATATATTACATGAACAACTACAACTGGATACTAAGCAACTACAGCAGCAACGGCTTCAAGGTCTTCCATCGCCGGCTTCCACTATACCGGAATCTTCAGAGATTTTAAACAACCCAGCAACATCAAACTCTTCTTCGGTCTCTTCCTCATCGAATGAAGCTGCAAATGATGAGCAAACCAAAGCTGGGGATGATGAAGAACAGGATCAGGATCAAGACAAGACAAAGAAGCAGTAAGCTTTTCTTCTGTCATCTCATCTTTTTTTAAGCTATGGGTTTGATTCAGTACAGGGCTGTATGGAAGTGATGAGGTTTTAAATGGGGTTTCTCGTTTCTGTTGTTGAGTTAGATAATTGAAGTACTGTGGGAAAAACTTTTACATGTCTTTGTTGATTTTTTAAGTAAAGTTTTGTCCTTTCTCTAACGGGTTTAGGTTGAAATCCAAAAAGAAGAACCAAAAAAGGCAAAGGGAGCCGAGATTTGCGTTCATGACTAAGAGTCAAGTTGATAACTTAGATGATGGTTACAGATGGAGAAAGTATGGGCAGAAAGCTGTGAAAAACAGCCCTTATCCCAGGTATCAAAATCTAATCCTTCCCCCCCCCCCCCCCAACACACACTTATGTTTTTCTTTAATTTAGTTAGTATATTGGTTTTGAATCTGTTCCTTGCATCTCAAGAATTCAAATCATAAAAAGAGTACTTTTAAATAACTTTCTTATTAATTGTGAGTTATTAATATGATTGCAACAGGAGCTATTATCGTTGCACTAGTGCAGGATGTGGAGTGAAGAAGAGAGTTGAGAGATCATCCAATGATCCGACGATCGTCGTCACGACTTACGAAGGGCAGCATACGCATCCATGTCCGATAACGCCTCGAGGAAGCATCGTAATCGTCCCGGATTCATCTAGTTTTTGTGCTGCTTCTGCTCAACCCTTTGTTTTTCCTCAACCTCAGTATTTACTTCATCATCAGCAGCAAGTACAACCCCATATATATACCTCATCGCCTTCTTTGAATATTACCCCTAATACTAGCTCTAGCTTGAATTCCTCTTTTCCTGTTATTCGTCAAGAGAAACGTCTCAGTCCTAATTCTTCAGCTGCATTACTTAGAGACCATGGACTTCTTCAGGATATTGTTCCAACCCAGATGAGGAACAAGGGAAAGGAAGAAGAGTAGAAATGGGTTTTAATTATATGTTGCTGGTATGTAGTTTTCTAACCAACTCAGGGGATTTGTCTTTTAGACAAAGAGAACCCACTTCACCATTTTATATATAGTACTAGTACCTTTTTATTCAGGTTATTAATTATCTGTGTAAAATGATCGGTAGCCATTTTAGTATTTTGGGGGAGTACTACTCTCGTTTTATACTTGGTTTTTCTTTTGGTTATTCTTTGTATTTAAAGAGTATTCAACTATGGAGATATTGGGTGTTTTTTATTCTTCCATTTTGCTTAACTCTTTTCTTTTTCTTTGCTTCTTGCCCACATTCTTTTCTTTCTTTCTTTCTATTTCATTGTGTGCACCCATGCATATTATATATCAAAAGATAGACTAAGCTAGAAAGAGTCTTTAGGGTTAGGGTTTTTCTTGATGAGAAAAGTCGTTAATTATTCTTACGTTATTACTAGTAATTAACCTTTTGTGTGAGACAAAATTCTTGAACTTTTTGGGACAAGGGGCATTCTAGAATAATGAATTTGGGAAATCTATTCTACGGAGGTAGAGAAGGGAACCCTAAAGATAGGAGAGAAGGCAGTGAAAAAAAATGTGTTTGAAACTTCATATACATGAATGCGGTATCTTTGAGTACATTCACTGAGGGTGCAAAGATATAAACAACAATAACTTTTAACCATTCCCATTAGCCTTTTCGATATTTTTAATTCATGACTTTTTCTTCCATTTTAAGGTAATTAACAGAAACGGAGGTGTAGGTCAATAAATGATGGAACATGAACAGCTTAGCAAGGAAATGGAGTGCTGTTCTTCTAGATATTAGAAGGAATGGTGAGAGAATTTGGCCGAGGATCTGGTTCAATTCCACTAGTCTCCCCCATATTGCACTGTCTCAGCCAGCTAGGAATGTTGTACACGCTAGCTGTGATCGAACATGGTGATTAGATACTTATATATAGGGCAATTCAATTACATTTGCATGCAAGATATTCTTCCCCATACAAGATATATATAACTAAAACAGAGTTGTGAATAAAACTCCATACATATAGGAAAATTCAATTACATTTGCTTGCATGATCTTCTAGCATTATCCACTCCTTTGGCTATCATTCAAAAGAATATATATTTCATGTTTATGCATAGACCAGCAAATGCATATATTCTTGTTTGAAGTTTCAATACATGCATACAAAATATTTGAATCGAGCAATGAAAAAATAATTTGAATCGAGAAATTCCACTGTATATATACCATACAATCAATATATTAACCCTTTTTTTTTGCCACAAAATCAATATAGTAAACCTATGATGACTTATTAAATAAAGTCTTATTATTACCTAAGCTAATATTAGTTAACCCTAGGATGACTTAGTGAGGACCTGTTGATATATGTAACAATGCTGGCTTGAGTTTATATTTTGTTGCGTGTATAACACAAAAAAAACCTCAACTTTGTCTACTAAAGCATATTGTCGGATCCATCATGTTTGGGAGAACATGAGAGTCCACAGGACAGATCTAAATCTCAGCCATTAGTTTGGGAGAACCATTTATATGGGGGACTTGATTTATATATTGACTAACAGGTAATGTAAGAATAAAGATGAGGTGCGTGAAAGAATGATCAAGTACTTTTCCCAAATTGTCTTATCGGTATCTCTTTACCTAAGTCCTTCCAAGGTGGGATCCTGTTGGAACATTTTTGCATACAACAGCTGGCTTGAAGCTTAGACACCATTTTCATTTCTAATTTAATCACTGATTAATCAAACTAAAAAATGCCTCATCTATGCAATTATGATATCGGTCATCTGCCTTATTACATCTATGCTGAAAAGTTAGCTCCGGTCACTTTCCTAGAATATCTAAGCATGAGATAAGCACAAAAATATTATTTTTCTCTACGATTTCAAAGCTCAGAGTCAATTTGACAACACAGTAAAGTAGAAGAAATTTCATGATACCCTAATATTTTTTTTATGACTGAACCTTTTGATAAAAGTCCCTTTCATCACGCTACCAAATTAACTTTTAGTCCGCACATAAAAGTCAAATATAAATTGGAGTCTGACACTTCAATTAAAAGATATATTATGTTAAAGATCATATTTAATGCGTAAAATGATTAATAAAATAAAATAAAAATTATTTTATATCATATTTGATTTATATTTAAAGAGAGATAAAATTATAAAAAAATTAATATATTTTTAGTATATGATTATTCAATCATTTCAAAGTGGAGATAATTATTTTTAGTTTATTAGATAAAATTTACATCAATAATTTAAATTATATAAATTTTGAGAAAAAATAATTTTAACATATAAATAAATTATCTTATTTTAATTCTTACATACATTAAATATAAAATAAAATGATATTATTTAATTTAATTCTATTTATAATATTATTTTATCTTATCTTATTATAATCTTATATATCAAAGTTAACTTAAAAGTACTAGAAGTACATAATTGAATTAACCTAGAAAATCAAAGAGAGAAAGCTGACAATTAAGGCTAATTATAAGATTAAGCCAGAAACAAGTCAGACTTGAACTTAATTTGCAACCAAAACTGTTTACCCTTCTTTTATGTTTTTATGGCTTTCTTTAAGTGAATTTCAAAAGGGATTTGATTAATTTTTCTTTTTTGGATAAATGGATTTGATCAGTGTTTTTTTACTAACCATGCACAGTATTATTATTATTTTTTTTTTGTACAACGTTATTCGAAGAACCAAACAAAATTCGAGATTGAGATCCTTTTAGAGAAGAAATATATGATAGTAACAAAGTTGGCTTCATAATTATCTTTACTCTTTGTAAATGAAAAGTTGCCTCCTAATCGCCCGGATGATGGGGATAATTAGTATTGGTAAAGGCATCTGGGAAGGGCATAGGTAGATGAGGTTCAATGTCAAATCTTGTCATGCAATTTTTTTTTTTTAATTTGAGAAGAATAAAGTTATCTTTTGAATTTTGAGCACTCAGATTCTGTCTAAAGTTGTCTGGGGATCAATTTATCAGGATTAAAAGGTAACCATTACAAGGTAACCACTACATAACACTTCATGGCCGTGGGCTGCTTTGCGTAACACTTTGGACCTACGCCAGTGCTGCTTTCTGGGCATGATGGAGCCGAAAACAAGAAATTGTTTTTAGCTTTTCTGGTTTCTGTTTCAACTTTCACCACAAATTGGGCCGAAGCTTCTGTCTTAAGGGTCCATCAATTCCTGCGTTTAGGACCAGTCCTTTTAATGCGAATTCCAAAGCTAATGACCCAAATCTAAGCACAGATTCTGAGGTTTCCCCGGTTGTGAAAAACCATAGGTCCCACTTCTCACAGTATTAGAGACTAGAGTATCCAAACCACCGTTGCCCTCATCTGTTATGTTTATATGCGTTAGGTTTAAGCAGCACATGGCGTTAGGTTTACATGCGTCTTTCATGACGAAATATGAACTTGACCTCTTCCATGCCTTGACTGCTTCATCCATTAACCACCCCCAGTGGCTTAGATGCTCTCATTCCCTCTGTCTCAAATAACGATGTTATATATATATATGTATATATATGTATATAACATCTTCACTTGACATTCTAACTGCTAAGAGTAGAAGATAATGGCCAACTACTTGGCTTTCTGTTTGGTAATGCTTAAGCTTTCCATAGCATTTGCCAATGCGCCAAAGCCAAACACCTTGAACGAAACATGTCTTGATGATATTAGTATTGTACTGCAGATAAACTTGTACAAAAATAGCTGCCCAGAGGCAGAACCCATTATCTTTTCTTGGGTTGAACATGCAGTATCCCAAGACTCCAGAATGGCAGCTTCGCTGCTTCGTCTTCATTTCCATGATTGCTTTGTTAATGCAAGTCACTCTTTTATATATTAGTATGTTTTTTTTTTTCTTTCTCAGCTCTCTTGCGGATTATATTGTAACATAATGTAGAATATGTGAGTTTTGCAGGGTTGTGATGCTTCAGTGTTATTGGATGAGACTGGGGATTTCACGGGTGAGAAAACTGCACCACCAAACTTGAATTCTCTGAGGGGCTTTGAAGTGATCGATGCGATTAAATCTGAGCTTGAATCTGTTTGCCCTGAAACTGTTTCTTGTGCTGATATTCTTGCAACGGTTGCCAGAGACTCTGTCGTTCTAGTAAGTAATATTAGCAGTTTGAAGTATAAAATTATGCATACAACAGAACTTTTACGGTTCTGTTAGAATTTCAAATTTGGATTTGCAGTCAGGTGGCCCTAGTTGGGAAGTCCAGATGGGCAGAAAAGACAGCTTGGGTGCCAGCAAAGCAGCAGCAGCAAACAACATTCCAGGCCCAAATTCTACTGTGCCGGCTCTGGTTGCCAAGTTCGAGAATGTTGGCCTCACACTCACCGACATGGTTGCTCTCTCCGGTGATGATTCCGTGGAATTCACCTTGTGTTTTAAAACATTTTTTTTAACTTCTAATGTATCGAGGAAAAGCTTACTGATCAGAAACATAAATGAGACTTTGGCAGGTGCACACACGTTGGGAATGGCTCGATGCTCAACATTTACCTCGCGACTTCAAGGCTCAAACGGTCCAGATATCAATATGGATTTCCTTCAAAATCTGCAGCAGCTTTGCTCGGAATCAGACGGGAACACAAGGCTTGCGCATCTTGATCTAGTGAGCCCTGCAACATTTGACAACCAGTACTTCATTAACCTTCTTTCCGAAGAGGGATTGCTACCATCCGACCAGGCCCTAGTCAGTGAGGATTATCAAACTCGCCAACTCGTACTCTCCTATGCGGAGGACCCTTTGGCTTTCTTCGAGGACTTCAAAAATTCTATGGTGAAAATGGGAAGCTTAGGGGCTCTAACTGGGAATGATGGCGAGATTCGTAGGAATTGTCGGTTTGTTAATTAATGAAGAGTTATGGTCAATGCATGAATAAACATGTTAGCATTACTTCATGTTCGTCAATCGTCACTAGTAACCTTAAAAAGTGTTTCCATTGCTTATTGTTCCTCCGTCCCAGCTTCAATATATTTGTAATCAACATCGGTGAATTTGATTCTGCGTCGGGAGTCTTTATAGTTGATACTTGATATTATCCAATCCATCACAATCGTCATTAAGGAATGTCAATTCAGGGCACAAAAGAAAGTTGTATGTCTATGTATCTGATTATTATAGCAACTAATAGTATGTTACAAAAATACGGATGGCCAAACATTAATGGCACAGAAGCTGAAAATGCCACTAACAGCAGGAAGCAAAGGCTACCACTAAATTCTGAGAAGAAAACTATCCAATATTGTAGCTTCCATTACACATCTGACATGGCCTTTAAGCCTAAAGCAGTTGCTGCTACACGGATGCCTTTGCTTTGACTAATTTGTTATTTGCGTCGCCCAGCATTTCCAAGAAGAAACTTGTTCCCTATTAGCAGACTCACCTCATCAGGAATTTAGAACAAGTAGAAGCTCTGAGCACCTATTTGATTGAAAGCCATGATTAAAAAAATCTACATCTAGCATCAAACAACTTAATTGTAATTCAACAACATAGATCAATATTATCCTCCATAGTTGTAGTTCACTTGCATCATGTAAAGGTGAATTTCTCTAGGATGAATGGAACAGAGACTTTAGTAAAATGATCAATCACACAACAAAAATTAATGGCATTGCAAAGCAGCACCATTTTATCACCTATTAAAGAACTAACTGGGGAAAAAAAAGAGACTCTCAGAAAGTTTTCAACTGTAATGGATTAGCATATATAAAACCTATATCTTTGGAGCAAAAGAAAGCGTTATAAAGTATATAGCAAAAGAAAAACAAATAGTCCCTCACTAGCCATTGAAGCAAAGACACCTAAACCTTCTTCATTCCTCACTCCTCAGTCCTCCCAATTCCAAACTTTCAATGCTTTTCGCAATTCAAAACTAACAAAAGCATCAACACAAGCGTACTGGACCTGCTCTAAAGAAAGCCAATAAGCATCCCAAGACTCACCCCAATCCTTGTAGGCTTCTTAACCTCATCAGCACCCAAAAATATATCAGCCAACTTCTCCATAGACAATTGCCTACTCAATCCGCTTCTCTCAGCAGCAACGTTGCAAGCATCAACCACCCTGGAAACAGAAAGTCTATGCTTCGACCACAACAGCATGGCTTCATCACTATGGTTCCAAACGCCGACGAAAGTATTACGAGGATCAGCCAAGTATCGGCGGACAGAGAGGGGCGCATGAGTTGCATGGAGGAGTTGGAAGATGAGGCATTGACGTCCAATGCAAAGCTGGAGAGTGGCTGCTTGAGGGTGTTCAATGGAAAAGAAAGGGTTCCATTCAACGCCGAGGCCGACCACGAGCCTGTTGTGTCGGATACGGTGGAGACGAAGGACTTTGAAGAGCCAGTTGCGCACTACAGAGGGATTGGCAGTGACTGTGGTGGTAATGCGATCAGATAAGAAAGTTACTGTGAAAGTTCTGAAATTGTATGGGTTCGGGTCAAAATGGGACAAGATGGTAATGCGTTGGTCGTTCATGGCGGATTTAGGGGGAGTTTTAGAATCTCTGAAATCGGTTTCGGTTTGGGTTGTAGGATGTGGAGCAGACACAGATAATTGGTTTTTTTACTTTTTTTTTTTCTTAGATTTTGTTAGTTAGTGGCGTGGAAATGGGGTAAAAAAGGGAGCAAAACATGCATGGATAAAAAAATTAATATTTCATATACTCATAGTGTATTTTTATACATTATCAGTGAATAATACAAATATATTTTATTAATGAATAAAATTTAAAATTTTAAGTTTTTAAAAATAAATATTAATAAATTTATTTAACGTTAATTAATTAAAATTAAAACTTTTCTCTTCTTTGTCATATCCCTTTGTATTTATTGTCTATTTCTTTTGATTCTCTAATTCTTTTTACTAGATAAGCTTTTCGTCTCAATCAAATTTCGTGATTTTAAGGTGATTTTGTTGAATTTCACTTCCAAATTTTCATTTTTATTTGCAGTTTTGGATATTGATTTTGGATATTAGGTGTTGAATGACTTTATTTGCTCTCAAATTTATGTTCTGTTACATAAACAACATTTGTTATTTCTCCACTTTTATCCTGGAGTTGTATTTTTACACCTTATGCTTTGTTTTGTCCCTTTTCTATTTACCAGAGAAGTTCTTTTTTTTTTTTTTTTCGAATAACCAAATTTAAAGATTTCCACTGGAATTATTGCACATTGTGGTTTTATGTACTGCATTGAGTTTCTACCAATTGACAAGGCATGAGAGCTGAAAAAATTATCAAATCAGATTATATGTCGAATATGATAATCTTAACAGCATTGATCAATGCTAGAGTGAGTGTTATCTCTTGACAGTATTGATCAATTGCTTATATGTGAGGGAGGTTTCACTACTAGGCTAAATTTTGTTTTGTTCATTAAAAAAGTTCATTTCATGCTGTGTTTTAATTGTTAACAAATTTCATGCTGGGAAAGCTTACCTAGTAAAAAGAATTAGAAAATCAAAAGATGGAGGTGGTAAATGCAAGAGAAGGTGACAAAGAAGAGAAAAGTTTTAATTTTAATTAATTAATTTTAAATAAATTTATTAATATTTATTTTTAAAGGTTTAAAATTTTAAATTTATTAATGAGATATCTTTGTATTATTCACTGACAGTATATAAAAATAATACACTGTCAGTGTATGAAATATTAATAAAAAAAAATCCTTAAAAGAGGACAAGAAATAAGAAAGGATTAATTACTTTGATTTATTTGGGTTATTTAAGGGAAAAAATCAAAATGATATTTGAATTCCTCTCGAAGTAATCTTTGTACGGGGAAAATGAAGTGGTATACATGAGATTATGGAAAGAAAATTATTTTTTTTTCCATATAAGACGATTAATATTTAAAGTATATTTTACAAAAAGTTTAAATCAAATCTAGGTAGGAAAGAGATTTTTTATCAATTAAATTAACTTTTACAAATATGAATAAATATGTAAACTAACAATATTTTTTTATGAATTGTTCATTAATGTTAGCCTTGAATTGATTTTTATTTTGAAATGACAAAACATTAAGCTAAATAAGCTTGATCAAAATTTTCAAAAAGACTTATTTAGTACATGTTCTTGAGTTTTATGTTTGATACTAAATAAATAGTATGATTTTCAAAGTTTAAACAAATTTTTTTTGGTTTCATATTTCTCAAACCAAATCTATCTTTAAAGATTATTTATTTGAGCTTAAATGAAAGTCCAATTGTTATTTTTAAAGTAAATTTATTCATCTTGGACTTAATACAATTTTAATAATAATGATTTTGAGAAATAGATTAATTTAAGAAAGTTATTTTACAATAACAAAGTTTTTTAATATTGAATTTGTTTTATTTTTTTGTACTAATTCACAAAGTTTTAATATTTGAATTTTATATAGTTGAAAAGCTCTTTGAGTTTACTTTCTAATGGATTAAATAAAATCAAAATCAAAATTTTTTAATAAAAGATTTTGTATTTTTACTAGACACTCTGCAGTTATCTAAAAACTACACAATAGGTAATTTTAAAAAATCACTATAATTCATACACAATGAATTAGTGATGAATTTTATATAGATATAAAGCACTTTAAGTCTAGTTTCTAAATCTTCAAACGGTTTGTGACTTGAATTTATATAACTCAAGTTATGATCAAATTAGTAAGTAGAGTATAAAACGAGAAACAACCACCCAGCTTGAATAGGATCGATTGCTTTTTTACCCAGAACGAATTTTTTGTTGAAAATGGCAAGAAGTTATCGATCACTTTATGTAGGGATCGATCACCCCCTTAACCAATCAATTCACTACATAAAAGGATTGATCGGGTAGGTATTTTCAAAGGCAAATTTGACTTCCAAAAGTGAACCCATCAATCCCCTAAGGGAATGGATCGATTGGGTCTAAGCAAGATCACTTCAATGGTTACTTTTTCATGTTTCCAATGGCCATTTTCTCAATTTCTCTATAAATTGGATACTCCAACACATCAAGAAAGTTGATACATCAAGAGAGCAAGAGCTAACAAGTCATCTTTTCATTCTTTCAAATAATCAAGAGTTTTTAGAACTTCAAAGTCTATATCTTTGTATTTATTGTATCCAAATTATATTTGTTATTCATTCATCATTTCCTTGTGCTTAAACTTAGCAAACATTTAGCCTTAGAGAGGTTGTTCTATTGTTTGAAAAATTACCTTTAATATACAAGGGTGGAAGAGAACAAGAGGTAAGGTATCTTCTTGAGAGCTTTATAGTGAGATTAAGTAAAATACTACAAAAGTTAGAGGTTTCTATATTAAGCCTTAGAAAGAAAAAGATAGATTGTATTTTTAATTCAAGAATAGTGAATTGAAGCCTTGGTATGGACAACTAAGAAGAGAGGACGTAGGTGCCTTGTGAAAAAGGACTGAACTTCTATAAATAATTGTGTTTGATTTCTTTATCTCTATCTTCTTTTAATTTATTATTGTTTATATTTGATTTTAAGTTCATTAATTGTTATTGGTTGCATTATATTTTCATCAAAAGTGCTTATTATTTTAATTTTTATTCAATTATATTGAAATCATTGTTTGAGAAGAATTTGAAAAAATCCAATCCAGATCACCATCTCACTTAAAAAGCTAACAATTAACATATTAAATTATTTATTTGTTTTTTAAAATAAATTATTTTAAATAATATTTTTACATTCATTTATTAAACAAATCAAATATGAATAAAAGTTTTTTTGTCATTTATTTTACGAAAGAATTCATTTAAAATTCATTTTTTTATATTCACTTAGAATTTATTATATTAGTTTATTATTAAATAGTGTTAGTAATAATAATAATAATAATAATACATTTTTATCATTTATTTTATTATACTAACATTTTCACTCTTTTAATTTATTTCATTGTTTATATTCATTTAAAGTTCGTTTATATTTGTTTATTGTATTTTTATTTTTAATTTTTTTAGTTATAATTTTATTTTTTAAAATTTATTTAATTATAGTTCATTTATTATTTATGAATATATTTGTTTATTTTCTATAAACATATTAGTTTATACATATTCATGAATATATTCATTTAAAATTTACATACAAGTTTATTTAATTTAAACAAACAAAAAATAAATCGATACAAATATCTTACTATTTAAATGAATTAAGCTCGAATATAATGAAGAATTTTCTCACAGAATATGATCAGTTCCAAAAATAAAAGAACAAATGACAAATATATTTTCGTTTGTTAATATTCGATTTATTTATACTCTTAAATATAAAAAAAATATTAATTTAATTAAATAAATATAAAAATGAAACAAAGCTCCGGATAAAATTTTTTGGGTTTGATATGATCTTATTTATGATAATATTATGTTACTAAATAATAATTAATTTTATTCAATTTTAACTTTTAAATATATTACTAATATAATTTTAAAATATTTTAATTATAAATTTAAATTAAACAAATTTATATGAATAAATCAGATGAAATTTTTTTGATAAACTTGCTAGAGATATCAACTTGAACCAACCGGCCAATCATGTAGATAAACACAAAAAATCACCAAAACTATTTTTTTTTTTTCAAACAAAATAACGAAAAGGTGAAACAACATTGAAAAGATAAATTATTAAAATTTTAATACAAGTTATCATTTTAAAAATTTTTAATACATTATCAAACTAAGCATATAAAACAACATTGTCCATTTGAATTATATCAATATAAAATTTTTTATTTTACATCAATTTATAATCATTAATTTATATTTAATTTTTTGGTTAATATGTATTATCGTTTAGACATAGCTTTATTACTATTTGTTTCCAACTTTGCTTCTTTAATTTCTTTTTTTTTTACTTAATTTTGGTTTTTATAAAGAATATCTTACTTTATTATTTATATTTACTCATTTACAAGTTGTTATTATTATTCATTTATGATATTATTACGTTATCTTATGTTATTATTTATATTTATTCATTTATTACAAGCCTGTGCATGGTATTTGAATTTGAATCATTTTATAGCAATATTAAAAAAAAAAAAGAATTTTTGTCAAAACAAAATTGAATCAAATGAAACAAAAAATTATTACTTGAACTAATTAAAAGAGGAGAAAAGATAGAAAGACGGTGCTAAAAGGCAAAAAAATGTTGATAGAAAAAATAAATAATAATAAAAGGTGAAAGAATATAAGGTAACAATACGATAATTAATAGAAATTAATGAAAAAAGTAATTATATCTTAAGTTTTAATTATTTGATTTAATAAAAATCAATGGCTACAAATAGATGTAAAATTAAAAAAATTTATATTGATACAAGTAGATTCTTTTTTTTTAAAATATTTCTAATATATATATATATAAAGTTTTACTAACACAACAAAACATATATATTCAAAATCAACAATAGATTCAATCAATTTACTAATGGATTTATAATATAATAAGATCATGTTTAATATATAAGATGATGA